TATATTAAATAGACTTTCAACGAAGGACGGGTTGAAAACGTGGGGAATTGAGGTGGATGACAAATGTTGCCTGTGCCAGAGAGAGGACGAAACCATGGAAGATTTGTTCTTTGGATGTGATTATTCAAAATAGATTTGGTAAAAGATATTACGGAAGTGCAGGATCTTTCGGGGGTGGAGAACTGGTCGAAGAGTTGAGATGGGCAGTGAGCAAATTGAGGGGAAAGCTTCCATCATATTGCGATTAGCCTGGAATTCCAGACATCAGATATAGAAAGAGAGCAACAGCAGGATGTTACAGGTCCTTGAACACATAAAAGATGCTGTGAGACTTCGATTAGGGGGACTAAGTCAGATACACATAAAAGATGTTGTGAGACTTCGATTATAGGGACCAAGTCAGATTGCTGCCAATACAGTAAATAAGATGATAGAATAGGTTGCAATTAGAGATGCGTATATTGATGGTTTGTAAAAGACGGATTGTTGTATTGTAGTAGAATTCTGCTAGCTTGATAAATAAAATACAAATTATCAAAAAAAAAAATTCCTGAAAATATACTATAATACAAAACATTACGAGCTTAGGATAAAAATAATTGTTTATTATATTCAAGAAATTCGTCATATATAAATATAAATATATATATATATTATTAGTGTATGTTACAGAGAATTCTGGGGGAAGTTAGGAATTAATTGTCTCCACTAATATCTTGTCTTATCTACAAACTGGACAAATACAATATATGTCATTGTTCTTTGCCGAAATCATTAAGGTTTCATTGACGGATACTTTCATTTTTTTTAATAAAAATCTATAAAATACAAAATAATAAAAAATAAAAATATCAATAAAAAAATTAAGTTATTTAAAAATTTATCATTACTAATTTCACTTGTAAAAAGAATTCCTTATATTGTATACATATGTGATAAAATTCAAAACCAAACACTTTATTTGGAGAATGGGGGTTTTAGTAGGAGATTTATATACTTATATTTTAACCAAATATTTAGGTGTTCAAACTGACATAGTTAGATGCAAATTATGCATATAATGCATTTTTTAAGCATTTATTTTTTTTAGGGTATTCGAGGTTGTAATGGATTGAATCATACTCACTATTAATCAATTATAACAAAAAGTTATATAGATATTCATTAGTTATAAGTTTGAATTTTACATAATATTTTAATGAATCATAAGTAATTTTGAATTATAATTAATTATAGTACAATAATTATAAGTGACATGTTTATTTTTTTAATTTTAGTAGTACTATTATTTATTGTTATGTCTAAATCAATTGGTTAATAGTCAAAATTTAATTAACACAATTAAGCCTTTGAGTCGTCTAAGCAAAGCATAACTAAATAGCTATGTCACCTATTCTAAGGAGATGGCTCGTCCTTCACCAAAATAAGGACTCACTTAAAACTCCACCAATAACTTGTTAAAACAATCTCTTCAGAATTGACCAACTGGCATCCAACTTGTCTAGGATCAATAAATGCAGCCTATGCTTACCTTAAATTATTAAATGCAATTCCCATCCAATGGATCTTTCTCGAATTCTCCACAAATATCCTATAAACTGTCAACTATTTCAATTAAGTCATCACCTTTGATATAATACAAGAGGTAGATAGAAACCCAGGTACGCAAGGTAACACACAAGACCCAACACTCTTTAAAGTTTATCCACTGAAGCTTCCCACACCTTATCATTTTCATCTTCCTTATTTCCTTACCTTACCTTAACGTCAAACCACGCCTCAGAGTAACAATTCTGATGCCCTCTGATCATACTTTTTGGTTACAGGTCACAGATATTTTTCCCTAAAACCTCACCTCCCTCCCAGTCAAGACATCCAACAACACCATCAACATTCATAATTTTATTTAAAATGTATTGAAGATTAAAATGTAACTCAAGTATATCTAAATTAATGAAATTACATAAACAAATAGAAATTACAATCCTAATCGACCAACCTCAATACACATATACTCAATCTTTTTTTTTTATTTTTTTATATTTTGGCAAGCACATATACTTATAATTTAATATTTTTTGAAGAAATTTTTTTGGAAAAAAATTTCAAGTGTACAATTCCATGACCATTAGAAAGGAAAAAGGAGAAGGAAGGATCCCTCAAATTCAAACAAAGATGCATGGTGTTCACAACAGGTAGAAGTATAATAAAATTTCAATCACTCAAACACAAATTTGGGGAATTGGGGAAATTTGAAAGGGCCAAACACTTTCTCTAACCAGCTGTGACCAACCAAAATGAGTATTGCCAATTTGCCATGCATTATCGTCATCATATCCTATTCCAGGCTCCAGCTTCAGGTTTTTCAATAGCTTTGGCCAGTTTCATCATTCATTATGTGACAATTATTCCACCCTTATTTGAATTTTCTGACAACTAATGCACACAACTGTTTGCAACATTTTTTAAAAAAGTTTAAATTATGGTAAGAAACTAAACCAGGGTTGTTCTTAATACTCATTGATGGGAGAGCTATTCGGTGGTTCTCTAGCAAATCTTGAAATTATTTTTTTCTATAGGAGGGCATAACCCAAAGGGAAAGGGAAAAAATCTTGGCTTGAAGTAAGATTTGGTGTCTTCTTAGAGTTACTTGCTCACTACCTCAAGAGGTCGCGGACGACAAATTTTGAACTTTGATTTTAAGATAAAGTTAACTAAAATAGTAATTTAACTAATAAAAAATAAATATGAGCAAAATGTGTTGTATACAAGAGTTACAGTTAGCAATGGGTTACCATTAATAATATTTGAATCTTACCATTTTTTTAAATTAAGGCGATGAACTTATCAATTGAATCAATTCGTCTGATTTAATTTTATTAAGAAAATTAAAATTTTAATTTAATTTTTATTAAATTTATATATTTTTGATTTAACACTTATGACAATATTATTGATTTTAATATATAATTGATGGATATAGTTAAGAAATGACAATGTGATTTTAAGTTTTATTAAATTATAATACATATAATCAACACCAATTTAAATATACATGCATATATATATACATATAAATAGATAGATAAATAGATATACACCAAAGATTTTTAAAATTTTTGGAAAGGGTAAGGCCCCTCAAGCTCCCATTATGAACTGCTTCTAGAGCATTTACATATAATATAACCCACAATTTCTCTTAAGAAATTTTAACATTTGAGAGAATTCGAGAGTTGCATACTTTTAATTATACCTTACTTAGCAATACAATATAAGTCAAATTCAAACCTAAGCATGTGGCTTAATATAGTGTAATTATCCACTTATACATCTTATATATATTTATTAAATATTTATTGTATTATGTATAAATACGTTAACTAAAGAATATAAATTTGATTTTTTTCACATGCAACAACAACAAAAAAAAAAAATCAATTTATTTTACATTTTTCTCAATTTTTTCACTATTTTTTTTGTTCCAGCCACATAAGAGTGTCCAAAATCTAATAAAACTTAAAATCCATTTGTAGTTGGGATGAATAATCCTTCAAAATTAAGGAAACTTAGAGCCCCCTCTTCTCTTGTATCATAAATTTCTCACAGGCTTCGATTTTTTTCTCATACAACTACAAAAAATAAATCAATTTATTTTATCACATAACTCTTTCTTTGACGTATTTTTTTCTCATTTTTTCACTTTTTTCTGTTCCAGCTACATAAGAGTGTCCAAAATATTGTAATACTTAAATCCGATGAATAATCCTTCAAATTTAAAGAAACTTAAAATCACTTCTTCTCTTGTGTTATAAATTTCTCATAGGCTTTGCTTTTCAAAAATTGCAATTACAAAAAATTGCAACCTTCCATTCTTCTTTTTATTGCATCCTTTGTTTCAAGTTTTAATATGTCTGATTAATTAGATCAAGTTTTAGTCCCTTGTTGGAATTTGAGTTTAGAGGGATAGGAGGCTTTTCTATGCATACCATTAT